TGGGTGATCAAATTATTAAATTATGTGAACGATTTAGATATCTCGGTTCTGTTGTTCAAAGTAATGGTGATATAGATGGGGATGTTAATAGTAGAATTCAAGTTGATTGGTTGAAGTGGAGGAATGCTTCAAACCTTTTGTGTGATAGAAAAGTACCTCTTAGACTGAAAGGAAAATTTTATAAGAGGGTGGTGAGACCTGCAATGCTTTATGGCGCTGAATGTTGGCCTTTAAAAGAGAAGCATAGTACTAAGTCAAGTGTTTGCCGAAATGAGAATGATTAGGTGGATGAGTGTTTTTACACTTAGAGACAAAATGCGAAATGATTATATCCCTGATACGGTTGGTGTAGTCCCAGTGACCGACAAAAGTAGAGAAAGTCATCACATTAAACGTTGACTATCTGATGATCTGATTAGAAGAGTAGATGTTTTAGATTCGACTTATGTTAAGAAATGTATAAATAGGAACAATGGAGAAAAAGGATTCATGTAGCCGATCCCATGTAGTGGGATTAAGACTTTGTTGTTGTTGTATTGGCTTTTGGCACCAAAGTGTTATAAATATAAATATCAAACTTTAGGCGCTAGATATGTAAATAGAAAGGAATTGTGTGGTATGTATGCAAATTTCCTTTTATTTTAAGATTGTCTCCCGCTTTCAACTTTCCCCTTAAGCCCTTGTGTGGTTATTATTCATCCCCAATAGAGATTCTTCCTGATGAGAACGAGTAAGATGATTATTCATCTGAGCATTTGACCAACCACTTCTCCAACCTCTACCTCGTATCTCTGGCTGAATGCTGGATGTTTGATTCTTAAAATTATTGATTTCTTTTCTTTTATAGAGCTATATATGATGCCAGGTGTGAAAAATTTAATACAAATTTGATCTTAAATTTAATAGCCATCAAATTTGAAAGTCAAAGTTTGATACTTAGACTTGTAACACGTTGGTGTCATAAACCCATGCATGAAAAATGTGTCATTCACTTTTAAAAAGGTTGCAATAATGTCATTTTGAATGTATTGTTAAAAGATTTTAGGGGTTTACATGCAAATATGAATGTTTTTGTGTTAGATATGTATATGCACAAGAATTATGTGGTATGTATGTAAGTGCCCCCTCAAACAAAAGAGATGCTCCACTCATCCTTGATAGCATTTCTTCAAGTATTGAATTAATTGTTTTACTTATAATCAGTTGGATTTGATTGAAATACGCAGAGGCAACGTTGCTCGGGATCAGCTGGTGAAGATATTCCGCTTCAGGATTTCATCCAGAAACAGAGGGCCTATTTTGCTGAAGTTGATTCGTTTGAGCTGCCCGAGGAGGAGGTCTCAGAAAGCGAATTAGAATGATAAATTTGCATTTACAACTCAACAATTAGTATAATGCAGCAAATTTGGTATTATGTAAGTAGTCGAATTAACTAATCCGTGGTCCACGTTGTAATTTTCTAATATCTTGGCCAGCACTGATATAACGTAATATTTGATTGTAAATGTGTAATCTTCTTTTCTTGAAATGCAATTGAAATGCAAAGTTCACTTTTCTCTTGAAATGCAAAGTTCACTTTTCTTTTTTTTTTTTTCCCCTCAAGGCTGCATCTGTCCTGAAATTTATATACGTAGTGAATTTAAACGATCCTTGCACATGAGAGTAGTAAAGTTTAGGGAAATTTATATACGTAGTGCACAACTTAAATATCTCACCTCTAAAGTGCTTTAAATTTATTCATGAAAGTCGCTCTTATAAAGGGATATTATTGTTGTTTTTGATGTGATATTAAAGATTTTAATGTTGGGTGTGTAAATGTGAAGTTTAGGTGTGAGATGTGCAATGTAAATGACCGCAAGTTGCACAATGAATATTCTTTTGCAATAATACAAATGAAAACATCTTTTATGCCCCTATATGATATTAATTTAACAATGCAAAGTATTCCTTAAATTTAATTTCCAAATTGCAACTAGCTTTAAAGGTATTACATGCTTGAAAATTTTTAACAACAGAGTGAAAATTTTGGTGTTAGCATTGTACGAAGACATATACACACATGATAACTTCAAAAGAGGCACCAAGTTTTTTATATTAATGATTGACGAGAGAAAAGATTCATAGGACCCGATTCAATTAACATAATTCATTGTATAAGAATATAGATGTCCGCTACTTTTAGTTGTAGAAGACAAATTAAAGTATTAATTTTTAGTTTGATCCTTTGTGTATGTGATGGAGAATTATCATGATGATTTGGAGATGAATGTGTCAATGCATTGTTGTTAGTGTCGCAAATAGATTGGCGATGATGAGATGAATATTAAGTTATAACACTTAGGCAATGACGACAGGGTGATAACAATCAAGTGGTCATAGTTGAATGACGTTGATTTGACAATAATAAGTAGAATATGATAGTTGGATAATAATAATTGGATAACCGTGGTTAGGCAAAGCAGTCATGCAATGGTGGTTCAATTACAACTGAATTGATGGTGATCGTATGCATCAATTGTCATGTAAAAGGCTTTTGTGTTTTTCAAATTTGTAGGCTATAACTAATTTCAAATCCCTTTCATATGAAAAATGGGTTTATTTATAAGTTTTTAGAAATAAAATTTTAATATATTTAGCCAAAATCTTAAACACTTCATAGGATAGTTTATATTAATTCTATTGATTATTGAATGTTTATTAAACATTGGATTTCTCTCATCAAAATCTCCCAATTTGATTGTACAATGCTTTTAAGATATTGAGAAAAATATTAAGTTTTCAATTATACTTCAAGTGTTGGATTCTCATTTGGACTTGGATTAAAATATTTTGTGTTGTGAAATGTTCTTATTGAAACCTTCATTTAGAATATAAATTTGTTAAATTTAGAATTTGAATAACTATGAATTTAACTCTACTTATTTTTAAATAAAATATAACATTGAGATTCGTTGCGTGCCGGAAGATTCACAACAGTAGAGTGATAATTTAATGTTTTAGCGTTGCAAGAAGATTCAACATACACAAATAATTGAAAAGTGGCATGAGGAAACATCTAGATTTTTTACATTAAAAAACAGAAGGGAAAATATCATGGATCCTAGCCCATTCAAAGTAATCCACTAAGTAATTATTGGTAAGTAAGTTCACTTTTCTCTAGAATCAGCGAAGGTAGAATTAGAAAACTAGTGATCACACTTGTATATTAGTAGTATAGCAATAATAGTCATAATTAGGCTACAAAGAAAATGAATCTTGGCTGTAATAATGGAAGTTAGCCACAAAAGCCATAATTGAATCAGTCAGCCACATAGGTCGTAGTCGGTGACTATAGTAGCTTCAGTTGGTCACAAAGGCAGTAGTTAGCGACTGTAATAGCATCATTAGGCCCCAAAGATGGTAAGTGGCGACTAAAATAACGTTAGTTGGCAATAGAGGTCGTAATCCTTGATTCCAATATTGTCAGTTGGCCACAAATGCCGTAGTTGTAAGTTGCAATGGTGCTAGTTGTCCACAGAGAACGTAGTCAGTGACTATAATAGCATCAGTTGGATATAGAGACTGTAGTTGGAAGCTCTAATTTCCACATAAGCCATACTTGGTGACTTTAATAGTTTCAATCGGTCATAGAGGCTATAGTTAGTGATCGTAATATTGTGAGTTGGCACAGAGGCTATAGTAGCATCACTTGGCCATAGAGGCCATAGTTAATGACTTTAATAGAGTCATTTAGGGGTGCAAATGAGTCGACATGCTATGGGAGCCGACTCAATCTCGAGTATTTAACAAGCTCATGAGCCGAGTTTATTTAGCCATGGCGTCGAGCTCATTTTGGCAAGACTCGTTGGCTCACAAGCCTGCTCAATTTGCCCACAACTAGTCGTTTCAATGTATTTTTTGGTGACCTGTTGATACACCCTATTTTCAAGTGCATTCACATTCTAAGGCCTCACACAAGTGTATGTGTCGTATTAATAATATCAAATTTTGAGTTCAGAATATCGATCCCACAGGGAGTGAGGGAATTAGACTTAAGGAAAATTTCTAACCTACTAGGTTTAGTTCTTAGCTTGTAATTGAAATTAAGAAAGGTTCTACAAACTACTCCTCCTGCTGAATTGCAATCTAGTTTAAAGGTGAACTCCTATAGAAATCTTACTTATTCCAATTAGATTGGGATTAATCAAGTTATAAAGCTACCTTTCCTTGGAATGATTTAAGTGGTAGTGTAGAAAATGTAAAGTGTCAATTGGTTATAAAGTGAATGTGGCTAGTGACAAATATGAGCAACTTTTTTCTTTACCCCTCTCTTGAGTGCGTAAAGAAGTTTGGTTAAATTGGTTTTACTTCCTTAAAATTTACATCAACTTGAACCCATCAAAGACTATATCCTTAAAATTTACATCTCCCTACACAGTACATGCACCATACCCTATAGATCAATGTGAATAACTTAGTTGTTCTACCAAAATTCTCTCGAGTCATTATGGGTCACAACACATTTTAACGAATCATTTGGTCAGAATGAAAATTAAATGAAATTCAAAACATTATTCACCACCTTCAAGTTTAAAAACCAATTTTAGAACCACTTTGCACTCCTACACAACCTACTCAATTGTTACAAGGAAAAGTAAAAAAGGTATACTTAGAAAATATGAAGAGCACCACAAAAAGCATAATTTGAAACAAGAAAGTCTACTAAATAATTGTGTTTACAGAAATACAATAAGAGAAAAACACAATAATTAGTTTTTTCTATCATTTACAAAGCTCTAAAAATGCTCCTCCAAGGATTTCCTGATTCCTTGCTGCTTTCCGGAATATTCTCCCCATAATACAACTCAAATTCCTCACCAAATGATCAATGAAACCTATCCTATTCTTTTCTACGAAAAACCTATAAAATTTGGCAAAAGTAGTATTTTAAATTTTGAAAATACAAGACCAAATCGATCTTATATCATTAGTAGTTTAAATAAAAGAGCTTAACATCGCAAGCAATGCATCCATCCTGAAAAATGAATATATGATCCCGAAAATATAGTTGTGCAAAATTTATAAAGTTGACTCCGCTTTGCAACGATGCCAAAAACTTGATGCGTTATTTTATGAATAAGAAATTTAAGTAATTTATGTTGGGATTCTATGCAAGTATACGTATCGTTATCAAGTAATACAAGACTTTCTGTTCAAGCCCCAAATATCGATCTCGCTAGAAAAGTTTAAATTCAAAATGATAAATTAACTTGGAAACTCATAGCAATAAAATAAAAATACTGCACTAATTTCAAATATTTAAGGTACTATCAGAACTAAATTATTAACTACTAGCGAAGGTTAATTCTAGAGATTAAGGTATTTGGTTTGAGAGAATAAGACTATATTTTTCCATTGTAAGTAAAGGAATTTGTATTTTTGAAGTATTAAGAATTGTAGAGTTTCATGTAAGAAGAAAAGAATGAAACTTTATGAAAAATCTTCAAAGATAATATGAATTTATAAAGTGAAGGAATGTGAAAAGTTTTTAACTTTAAAAAGAGGATAGTGAAGTTCAAAATCATTAAAGACTATCCAGATATAGTAATCCTCACATGAAAAAGAAAAAAAAAGAGAGAAATGATTGAAAATGATGTTGAAAGAAAAGAAAAAAAAAGAAAAGAAAAGAAAAGAAAAATATGTGAGGAGAAGTTTGAGGAGATACCTAATAAAAAATTGGTTTCACTTAAATCAACTTAAGAAAGAAGGCTTGACTACATTCTCTAAACTTGTATTTAAGTATTAACATATTTATTAATAAAGTTTCATGAAGTTCTTTTTCATATGAATATTCCAAGTGGGTTTAATATGACAATTTGTAATTTTCCTTGAAAAGAATAGAAAATCAGAAATCTTAGACTTGACTGTTAGATATTCTTATGCCTCTAATAATAACTTGAGTTATTTTTAAATTTTTCTTAATTTATGCTATGATATTTAGTAGACCAAAATATGAAAATATAGAAGTTAAATTCTTTACTATAAGTTATATTTTTATGTAGTAAAAAAGTTACTTGAGGATAAGTAACGTTTAAGTTTGGGTAATTTTGATGCACAAAAAATATATGTACTTTTAGACCTAAATTTTATACTCATTTTTGGTGATATTGAGCTTTAAAGGAAAGTATTTTACATGTTTTATTGCAGGTTGATGATTTTTAGCACTTGAAGCAAAAATGATGGAATTTAGAGTCGAAATGGTGTTTTGGAAGAAAAACACAGCGTCGACGGCGCCAGCATGAAGGAGGAGTCCAGAACAGCGGGGGCGTCGATAGCGCCATTTGACAGAGAGCACAAGAAATAAATCGGACCACGGGTACCGACGACGCCATCTTGCTCACCGACGACACCATTATGGGCACCAACGACACCATCGTGGGCCCCGACGACACCAATGTCGGTGCTGGGAAAATTTCTAGAAGATTCAATGAACTTGGGCTCTTTTTGAAGATTTATTGGATACACCTCTTGGAAAACCGACATTATGCT